CTGCCGCTCAGATAGTGAGAACGGTAGAGAAGTTACCTTTCATACAATGATGAATTTTCGTGTATGTTTTGTACTCCGCTGATTCCGGATGCAGTCCTCTAGTACATCGGAGTGGTAGCGGTAGTGGTCTGTAGTACATCTAGGACATGCTCAAGAGCGTATTTCCTGATTTTTCCCAAGAAGATACTTTTCTCGATGAAAGGATAAAATACACTATTCTGAATACAAACCTTATTCGTTCGTTTTCCATCTGAAAAGGAGGGTGAATATTTTGTACATGTCCGGTAGGACAAATCATGTGTACTTTTAATTGATTAGAATATCTCACTGAGTCTACCTAATTTACTTCAACACTGTCCTTTAAAAACACCTCACGCATTCATGGTGCTGTTAAATCTATATGACCGAAATTTATTACAATTATTTTGTGGGGATGTAAAAATTAAATTCAGCCTCAGTGTTAGGCCCGAACAAATTACGTACACAATGAAAATTAATTCTAGTTTACGATTTGTAGCAATTTCGCATGCAGATAGTGTTCATTTTCTGCACGCGTCATCCTACTTAACAGCAGAAACGTGGACTTAACAATTGAGAAGCTTTCCGGAAAAGGGCACATTGCAAAAAATTGCGTATGAGAAAAATGCATCATAAGTATCCATCATTACTTTCCGGTCACTGATGATAACTTACATCGCAGCTTGGACGTCCGATTTCGAACGTAAGTCACAGTCAGTGGCCATAATTATAATGATGGAAACTTCGAATGCATTTTTCTCAAAGGCCATTTTTTGCTGTATGTGCCCTTTTTCCGGAAAGCTCCTCACTTACATAGACGTATTGCTGAGTATGAGGCAAGGATCTCATATAGTTACTCTAGGAGGAATCTTAGGGCTGAGCCCGGATACCGCATGCTGAAATTCTCAATAGGATCCCGGTGTTCAAAGTTCCGTAGAAATTCTTACATCCGGTTACAAAAAGCGATAGAATTCGTATAGGTAGCTGGTTTTAGAAGCGAAGGAAATCAAACAGCCGTGCTAAACAGTTTATTGCCTAACAATAACTTTATCGCCATCGTCTATCAAATACTGCAAGAAACTGCGTATAGCGGTCAATAGATGCTATAATAAATCTCAAAGCCAGCTGTAGGTCTATGGTATTTGGGACATAGATTCTAAAGCCAATATATACTAGGGTAAAGATATCCTCTTTTCCCTATCGAATGAAGATTTTCTAGAAAATTGCAGCATGATAGGAGAAAATGAATACCATCTCCGGCTTTGACAGTCAAATGTATAGGATGTCCTAAACCTCACGTGTCAGAATTTTTTCTGCTTGGGTTATTTTAGGCCGGACATAGTCCAGGACCACGAGGCTAAATAGAGACGAGCTGACCTGAGGAGTGCAGCTTTCGTCATCTCAAAGCCCCCTCGGTCACCCTTGGGAGTTCAGCGGACGAAAGGGTATTCCAACTTTGGAGAGCAGGATTCTTACCACAATTTTAAAAATAAGCTGAGGTTTAAGTTAAATCAATACAAAAAAGTCCACCATCAGCCAATCCCTGTGCGCAGTATTGGTATAACACTTCGAGGGGAAATTTTTTCCAAAAGTGTATCCTCCTCCCCCTAAAACGCATTTGTTGGACATTTCGACTCCTGCAACATTCTTAATGTTAGAGAACAATTAGGTAAACCAAAACTGGTTTAAGCAGCCAATAAAGTACAAAATAGGTGTCCACCCTATCATATGCACCGAAAAATGTTTACCCTCTTTTTGAGCACAAAACGGAAAAATAACATTTGCGTTGTGCAAAAGAGAAGATTTGTCGTACCCATGGATTTTAACATATACCCATAAACATCGAAGATTTTGTTCCGTTTGATGAATTTGCAAAAATTTCATTCAAAATACACAGTGTATGAAATTGTCAAGAGACGTGTAGCATTCCTGCAATCATTGAACTGACAATTCCATGCTGAGTCCCAGGATTTTCATCAAATACTTTATTTTTTTGCTGTGTCCATGACTGCCAAATTTTCTGAGCATGAGTAAGTCGTACATTTTCTCCAAAAGGAAGTGTGGGTTGCAAAATCTCATAAGCATTGCATATTACGTGGTATACATATCCACTTCACTTATTTTCTTGACATCCTGGACTACATCCAGAATCAGCGGAGTACAAAACATACACGAAAATTCATCATTGTATGAAAGGTAACTTCTCTACCGTTCTCACTATCTGAGCGGCCATGTTGGCCACCACTTTGGTTCTTAGAGAACTTTTATGGGCCTGTTTGGGTATTTGGACCTCATTTGTGGAATTTTTGACGTTTCTGGGCTTCAGTAAACCTGTAGTGAAATTCTGACCTCATCAGTGAAATCTACGACCCAAAAAACCCTAGGAAAGATACCCTACTCGGCACTTTTACGCAACTCTCGGAGATTTGACCCTATCGTGGAAATTTTGGCGGCCATATTGGATTTTGGGCATCCCTTTGAGCCGGAGACAATTTTGGACCTCAAATTCGGATTCTACGACCAAAATTACATAGCGATAGACCCCATACACGACATCAAAAACAAATTCCAACATTTTCAACCCCCGAGCCCCCATTTTGGCCGCCATGTTGAATTGGAGGGGTTGGACGCAAAATTGAGCTTGACAACATCAAAATTATTTTTCTACACATCGAAAAGAAGAGGTCAGGCCATTTTCCATACTTACTACATCTACTTTTCCACGGGAGGCTTCTTTTCAACATAGGCCCGTGGACTAATTTATACAGGCCCGCGCTGTGCCGCCGCCGCGCGGATCGCAGTGGCGCGGAAACTTTAAATCATAGACCCATCATGTAATATATCGTTGGAAAGCTTAAAAGACGCTCTTTTACATGGTGAGTATTTAAAGTGACCTTAATAGTACAATTTTGAAAGTTATGCGAATTAGAAGATTTTTTTCCACACGCGAAACCCGGTTTTTATGAAAAAAACACCCTGTATATTGTCAAAATAAAAAATTTTGTGATTTTGATATATTAACCTTTCAATTATCTATCAAACAAAAAAAAGAAAATTTAAATCGGTTCAGTGGATCTCGATCTAGAGCGGCTCAAAGTACGCGCCCGGCCGCCATTTTGAATGGCCGCCATCTTGAATGGCCGCCATCTTGGCTCTGCCACCATTTTGGAAATGCCTCTTCGACTCAAAACGCTTAAAATATCATCTAGTTTGATCTCCCAAAGTGGCAAAACTGAATCACGATTTGCAGCATTTGGCCCTTTTTTGGTTCTAAGCCACCGCACTACTAGAATCGACCCCTGGATCACCAGAGTCGGAGTAGGGAGCGCTACCACTAGGCCAACCAGCTCACATGTCTTCTGATACGGTGCACTCACAGTAAGCTAAACTTGAGCATGTGACTAGTGCTCAATAACAGCAACTTTAAAAATGTATGACTCAAAAACGGTTGGACATGGGAGAAAAAAAATACAGGGTGATCCAAAAGTCCCTGCCACCCCCTCTAACTTTTTACCTAATTGAGGTAAAGATTTGAAACTTGGGGGATATTCCTAGGTCAAAGGGAGCTACTTTTTGGCCCCCCTAAAATTTTCAGGGGGGCCCCTCTTGGGGGGGGGGGCAACGGCCCCCAACTTTTAATTTTCAAATGGGAAGACCCCCTTTGTGATAGCTCGTTTGAAAGAGCATAAAAAAAGAAAACTTTTCGCGCAAACCCGAAGTCAATATCTCAAACCGTTTCAAAACGGCGGCCGCTTAAAGTTCAAAATGGCCGAAAATTCACACCGGTTATTTGTCGATGGATTTGCGCGAAAATCGGTATGTAGGGGTATTTTGACACGAGAAAAACGAATTTGACGTTAGATTTTTAAAAAAAAACCGAAATTTCCAAAATGGCCGCCGGTTAAAGTTCAAAATGACCAAAAATTGATTTTTTTTAGAAATCTAAGTTAAAATTTGTTTATCTTATGCCAAAATACTCTCAAATTCCAAGTTTTAGGCAAACCCATCAGTAAAAAACCGAGGTGACAATTTTCGGCCATTTTAAACTTTAACCGCCATTTTGGAAATTTTGGTTGTTTTTGAAAATCTAACGTCAAATTCGTTTTTCTCGTGTCAAAATACCCCTACATACCGATTTTCGTGCAAATCCATCGACAAATAACCGGTGTGAATTTTCGGCCATTTTGAACTTTAACTGGCCGCTATTTTTAAACGGTTTGAGATATTGACTTCGGGTTTGCGCGAAAAGTTTTCTTTTTTTATGTTCTTTGGAACGAGCTATCACAAAGGGGGTCTTCCCATTTGAAAATTAAAAGTTGGGGGCCGTTGCCTCCCCAAGGGGGGTCCCCTGAAAATTTTAGGGGGGCCAAAAAGTAGCTCCCTTTGACCTAGGAATATCCCCCAAGTTTCAAATCTTTACCTCAATTAGGTAAAAAGTTAGAGGGGGTGGAAGGGACTTTTGGATCACCCTGTATGGGTTCTTATATTTCCCTATTCTAACTACCTGCCAAAGAACCCGAACTGAGGAGGACAGTCGATAGCCTTCCCTTGTGAGATCTAAAGTGAGATATTATTCATAGTTGCCTTCCCCTACTCTTGAGATAATTTGGTTGAAACAGTTGACAATAAGTAAGAAACATCCCCATGGGGAGAATTTTTTTAAGTCAAGTGGATGCTATTTTGGTTGCTATTCAAGTCAGTCTTGAATGATTAACACTAGCTTTTGGAAATTTTACAAGATGATGTGAAAAATTTGTCTTTGCACCACACAACTCAGCAAGGGTTGAAAGAATCCATGTATTTGGTCTCAAATTGCCTAGTCTCTCCAAGCTCCGTGACTGGCAGTAGCAATCATCATGGTTTAGTCAAGTCTTATCATCCCTAACGTGAATACCCTTAAGTTTAAAGTTCAGAAGTGCAATTCCTTAACTTTCAATTTTTGAGTGTCTCATTTCAATTGGATTTTGTTTTGTTTTGTTTAGGCAAAGAAGAAGCCTGTCAAGAAAGAAAAGAATATTAAGAAAGAAACGCCTAGTCCCCAAAAAGGAGGCAGGAAAAAGAAAGAGGAAGAGGAAACCGAAGTTTGGAAATGGTTTGTCATTTCTCCTTGTTCTATAAGCAGGGCCGGATTTAGTTTTTGCCACCCCTAGGGCCGTAGGCCGGCAATATTTTGCCTCTATATTGCCAAAAATAACCCCTTTCTCCCCTCCCTGCACGCCAACAAGCCTTGCCTTCTCATTATGGTTCCTCCCTCCTGCGCTGCGTGGGCGCATGCGCGTACCTGCTTCTAAAAGTGGCGCAAAAATACCAAATGAAATGGATGCATGAGGAAAAAAGAAAATGTGGAGAAAAAGTTGAAGCTAGTGTAGCTCAATGTATTACTTACAATGTATTTTCGCATGGTCGGGTTAGATAGCTTTTCTACGTGTTTTAAGCTTTGAAAAAGAATCCATCAAAGAATCGAAGTCCAAATCAACCACTGGATCAGCCTTGGTGTTTAAAATTGCGGTGTTGTTGAGATTCTTCTGAGTCATTGATGATCGACAGAACCTTTTAATGCGATTCAAGGCAGACCTTGATCGTTCACCTGTGCAATTTGCGGATGCAGTCGTGAGGTATATTTTTCGTGCGACCCAAAGTTTGGGGTAAAGCTTCTCCAAATTTGTAGTGATAATCATTTGCTAAAGCACAGGTAGACTGCAACTTCTTTGGAGATTTTCGCCGATAGGTGTCAAAGGGGGAGGCCGAGATGGGCGAGGCATGCTTTTGCTGATTTGTCTAGCCCATTCTATGCACAAGTTTCAACCTGCACATTTCATCTCTTCAATGAACAATCAACCAGTTGCTCCAAGCTGGGACGGGGGGCGGCAGCTTTGTCACTCGCATAAATTCCCTCTCTTAGTCCTTTTTTTGCTCATCCTTTCGTTTTGCTCCCTCTCTGTTTGCATTTTTCCCTTCCTCACACATTACTAAATTAACTTCCAACTTTTCGAATTCCGAAATTTGCCCATTGCCGAAATTTGCTGCTTTGGGACTGGGCTCCAGTGCCCTCTAACTTAATCCTGCCCCCTCTAAAAGACTGAATAAATTGCTTTTTTGTGGATATTTCATGAACACATGGGGATATTTGCCCAACACTCAGATGGAATTAAAAGCTGTTGTATTGCCTTTAAAATGTAGTATTGCCTATCATCATACTCATTTTATACTCATTTTCTAACATAACACAGTGTTTCCAATATTACATAAGCTCTAAAAGGCAATCATAGGAGTATTCTGCGGACTAATTATCGAAATCAATAGACAATGTGGTAGATAGAGAAGACACCAAGAAAGTGGAAAGACCTTTTGATTGAAATGGTTGGTCATTTAAGACAAAGAGGGAAATAATGGACTAATTATTAGGGCCCTCATGAGTTGCTGTTGGTTAGTCTATTACTTACCTCCTTTGTCCATTGCAACCACCCGATTTCACCAAGAGGGTCGCTCTATTTTTCCTTCGTCTTCTTTTATCACTTTGTCTATTAACTTCAATAATCGGCCATCTGAAGTTCTTATCTTGAGCCAAATAAGAAAAATTTCTCCGGCCTCATTGTCTGAACAGAATCTAAGACCTTTGGAGTGCCCTTTCAAACTTGAGCACAAACGAAATCAGGTAAGTTCATATTAAATGAGCAACAAAGGATTTGTTTAGAATTTGAAATCCAATTTGAATGGAATTTGGTGGAGCCTTAGATTTTTGCCAATTAAGAGATCCTGAAAATTGTAGCCTATCATTTGCAGTGAAAAGATCTCTACAAAAATTTTTGGTAATTAATATCAGGAATTTCTCCGGAAAGAGTTTGAAAGTCGTCAAATTTAAAATAAATTGTTTTCAGGTACACTGCTATGGTGGCACCACCATTCTTTGTTCTTCTTGAGCTCTCTCAAGTTTGTTTTTGTAATTCAACGAAAAGCGGTTAGTTGATGATCGAATTTGGCAGACTCCTCTATGCAGTTCTTTCTGAATTTCAATGTAACATGATAAATCAATTTTTGTACTATCTAAAAAATGACAGAACAAAACTTGATTTTTATGCTAAATAGATAACTTCATCGGCAACATAGCCACCTGACAGGTGAGGAATAAGGGCTGTTCTAGTCTCAGGTTGCTCACGTTGCCAGACCTCTCTTTCCTTTGTTTTGCTGAAACAGCAAGCATTCACAGCCTACTAATTTTATCAGGAACTTTTCATGTCTGTCAGACCTATTTAAAAGCAAAATACAAGACAATAATGACAAGATTATGAAATAAGTTTGAGGTAAGAAAATTAGTAGCCTTGGTGAAATACAATGTTGTAATTTATCCCAAAACCACTGCGTTTTGTGTTTGAAAAAACTGACAGGTTCTGAGGAAAAATCTAATTTATCAAGATTCCCCTGTATTTTTAATTTTGAGTCATCAGTTTTAATCTCTCTGAATTAAAAGACCTACGAATGTTTTGGAACCAGGTGGGAGGAGGAAAAGAAACCTGAGGGCGTGAAATGGAGTTTCCTGGAACACAAAGGTCCCATTTTTGCGCCTCCCTATGAACGCTTGCCTAAAGATGTGAAGTTTTACTATGACGGTAAGTTATTAGCAAGTTTCAACGTTTCATCTTTAAAATTTATCATTTTCACCTCTATGAAGGGTAGGAAAATTTTCTCCACAGATTAGAGAGCTGAAAATTGACCGAAACGACAGACTAACTAAGGAACCTTACCCTCATGCCTCCTCAAAATCGATCGCCGTTTGGCCAAATAGTATTTTATGAAAATCCATTGGACACGTCTCTCTAGCCAAATAGTATTTTATGAAAATCCATTGGACACGTCTTTCAGCATTTTTGCCAATGCCCCCCAGAAATGGGTAAAATTGACCCCAGTTGTGGCACCTTTTTTGGGGTGTGCAACGACGTCAGTGACTGTGTGATGCGCCGTGAGCCTATGATAGGTTTGTTTGCGGCGCCTCTATCATGACTCGTGGTGTAGTGGACAGCAGTGACGATTCGCTCCCCACAGGTCCATGGTTCGATTCTTGTCTTCATATTTTTTCATCTTTTTTTTCAAATGCTTTCTCTATCTGTCCCATCCTGTTCTGTTAATTGATTGCATATAAGTTACTTCCTTGTTTGTACTATTATCATGAATATGTCACTTTTTATGTGTGTGATTTTTGTCCTCCTTTCAGAAATCCTGGTAACAATTGAAATTTATTTGTCTCATAATCAAGGAACATTTATAAAACTTTCGAAAATAAATGCAAATGTATGCACATGCTGAAGCAATCTCTCAAAATCACAGCTCAAATGTGTCAGTTAAAGATTCAACAGAATCAATATTGGTGGGGGGGGGGGGGGGGGGCTGTCAGAACGATCGATAATATGCCCTACATCTAATAGAAGTAAATAAATAACTCCACCTAGTGCTGAAGTTGGAAGTGGAAGTACGAACAATTTTCTGGGACTTCGAATTTAAAGGAATGCAACAAAGAGCAAAAGTATTTACACGTGCATTTTTAAATTTATTTTTGTAACTTTTTAAAATGTTCCTTGATTATGGGACAAATTTTCAATTGTTACCGGAACACCTAAAAGAGGGAAAAGGACATAAAAAGCGCTCACATAAAAAGTGACATATCAATGATAATTGTACAAAAAATAGGTAACATATGTAATATCAAGTAACCAAACAGGATGGGAGGGAGACAGAAAGCATTCGAAGGAAACGTAAAAAAAAGAGAGGGCAGGAATCGAACCCGGGACCAGAGGGGTGCTAGTAGTCACTGCTGTCCATCACACCACAAGGGGTCATAGTAGTGACGCCGCAAACAAACCTATCATATGCGCACGGCGCGTCACACAGTCATTTACGTCGTTGCGCACCCTGAAAAAGATGCCACAACCGGGGTCAATTTTACCCATTTCTGGGGGGCATTGGCAAAAAAGCTGAAAGACATGTCCAATGAATTTTCATGAACTCCTAGTTGGTCAAACGGAGATCGATTTTAAGGAGGCATGAGTGTAAGGTCCCCTTGTAAGATTCGTTTGCAGTTGTCATGTTTGCCATTGCCATTTCTCAACTAGCAGGGTTGTCAAAATCAGGGAATACTGGGAAATGTCAGGGAAAATGACAATAGTGTCGGGGAAAAACAGTTAAGCTTCTCTTATTCACTATCAAGAATGGGTTTAACATTTCGAACAACAAATTTTTGCCTGAAAACAATTTAAAATTATGTCTTTTTAATTATCTGGCAGATCTTCAACTGTCAGGGAATTTTACCAACATGTGTCAGGGAAATCGGGGATATTCAGTCTCTCAGTTCTGTGGCAATCCTGACTAACCCTGATAAAGGAATCTAATGCTAACAGTCACCTATTTATTAAGTGCCATGAGGCTGGCTGACCAAAATGGAGCACAAATTCCAAAAATAGGTCCAATATAGTGCTTCAGTTGGTTCAATTAGTGGTTCAAAACCTGGATCCTAAAAACGAAATAGTAAGTCCTAAAACCGTTTTTCGATCATTTCCTGAGAACCTTTGCTGGAAACAATCGTGCTTTGCATTACATATTTAGTTTATTCAATATCCGAAGAGATTTTCAAAATCTGTTCAACTGTTCTCCTGTTAGAGTCAAAATACCGTACATACTTACGCATTTCAAAAATCCCCTTGGATGTTAAAAGCACAGTTGAACCACTTAATATTTGCCTCAAAGCACAATTGTTTCCGACAATTTTCATACAGTTTGTTTTTAGATTGTTTTACCTCAAGACTAGCTTGGAAGTTTTTTGGCTGTGGCAAGAGGACGGTTCTACGGACTTCAAAAATCTCTTCGAATATTGAAAGAACTATTGAAGCACTAAATGCTAGCCACGCAGCACAATTGTTTGCAACAATAGTTCTCTGCAGAAGTTAAAAAAAAAAGTTTTTTGGGCGTTAAGTTGGCTTACCATAACTGGCAATTTGACTCAGGTGGGAGGACAGTTGCACGGATCTCAAAAATCTCTTCTGATATTGAAAGAACTATTATATACCAAATATGTAATGCAAAGCACAATTGTTACCTTCAAAGATTCTCTGAAAATGATTGAAAAACGGTATTGGAGCATGAAGTTGGCTTACGGTTTTGTTTTTAGGCCGCAGGTTTTGAATCCTTTGGCAGTATGGGCTGAAACTTGAAGAATAATTAGACACGATTGAAGCGCAAATATTGGACCTATTTTTGAAATTTGTGCTCCATGATGGTCAGCCAACTTCTGGTAGCTTGTTTATAATAATGGTTGCTACTCTAAAGGAAGTCATTTAATGCCAAAATTTGAAAGGACAAAGGTCAATAAACCTCTGCAATGAGTCTAATGTCACATCTTAAATGTATTTGGTAAAATGTTGATCACCCATTTTGTTTTTTCCTGATCGTTTTTTTACTGTTATCTCCAAAAATGAAATTTTCAAAGTGGCTCTCTGAGAACACAGTGTTGTAAATTAATCTACTTTAAAATGCTATCTTAAGGAACTAAGCTTTAGGACCATCGAAAGTAGGAGGTTTGGGAAAAGGGAGGTATTCCAGAACATTGAAAATTGAAGCTTGCGAGATTGACTGAAGAAATAATTATTGCTAGAAGTTAAATTCCATTGCTGATGATAATTTTAGCAAACCCTTTATATCGTTCTGTTAATATTTAATGTGATCTTTTAGGTGAGCCAATGGAATTGTCCCAAGATGCAGAAGAAGTGGCAACCTTTTATGCTAGAATGATTGAGCATGAATATACCACAATGGAAGCTTTCAATAAGAATTTCTTCAAAGACTGGCAAAGTGTCATGACGCACGAAGAAAAGAACACCATCACTAATCTAAAAAAATGTGATTTTACAAGGATACATAGGTACTTTCAACAGAAGTCAGAAGAACGCAAAGCAATGAGCAAAGAAGAAAAGAAGGTTTGTTCATTTTTATCTATTTTATTCACAACTATGGCAACATTATAACATCAACATCTTGCCAATAGTTATCTCTTAGACGCTCTAACGCATTTTTATATTGTTCGGTTTTTTCCTTGTGATCATTTGGTTGCCTGCTGCACCCAGTTTTGGTTCTACAGTGGAAATCGTATAGTACAACATCGCTTATAACGACATATTGGTCATAACGACACGCGATCTGGTCGTACTCGTGATTGACTTCCCATAAATTCAGTGTATTTGTGCATCGGTTATAATGACCAAATCAGGCCGGTCCCTAGAGGGTCGTTGTATCAGATTTCCATTGTTATTTGGTATTAATTAGTGATTTCGGCCAATGGGAAATATGCTAGAATCTCCAACTGTAATATTCAAATCTGAAAGTATCAAGTGTTACTACTGTAAAAGCTGTTATCATTTGATACCCTGAAAGTTAAATTTTGGTACGCCATCAAAGTACAACATGCAGTCAGAGAGCAAGGAGTGGTTTAGAGGTGCGTAACAAAGGATGCGGCTCAGCCAAGTTGAAAATTGAAAAATAAGAGAGGAAAAATAGAATTAAAACCTTTTAAGTTGGAACTCACTCCTGCAGTTTTTTTATAAGATGCAAAATTCCTGAAATTTCATCAAATGAACACAATGAAATGTGACTATTCTATGTCAAAATCTCTGTCATGGACTCAGCACGCCCTGAAAATCATTGAAACAGCAAAATTTGAATTTAGAACTTTTGAAAAGAAATATCAATGAAGAATCAAATTTGAAGTTTTTCATTGAATCCTCCAGTATGCAACCCCTCAGAAAACTTTGAAATTTCACTTCTCAGCTAAATGAAATTTCCCCTTGTGAAATGAAAATCTCATCTCTAAGTATACTTATGGTGTGTGTTTCTCCAGTACAGTGCAGTTTTCGGTGTTTCTATTTGTAAGAAATCAGAACTTGCTAAGCTGGATATGATGCTTCCAGCTATTTCAATGTTTCCTTTATGCATCTTAAATGCTTATTGTATCTTTTGTTAAAATTGAATGAGATGTTGTTTAATTTTTAAATTTTGTGTCGAAAATAATTTCTCCAAAATACTGTCACAGTGCTTTTGGTTTTCCCCAGGCTATCAAGGAGGAGAATGAAGCTCTTCAGAAAGAGTATGGTTTCTGTACCATCGATGGCCATAAAGAAAAGATAGGAAATTTCAAAATTGAACCTCCCGGATTATTCCGTGGCAGAGGTCAACACCCAAAAATGGGTAAACTGAAATTGAGGGTACAGCCTGAGGACGTGCTAATCAATTGCAGCAAAGACTCCAAATTCCCTAAACCGCCAGAGGGACACAAATGGAAGGAAATTAGACATGATAATACTGTAAGTACCCCCTAGGTTTTTTTCCTTTTTCTTACCTTCGTTCGTTATTTCTCCTCAAAGGAAGTTCCCAATTCACACTAAGCACTAAATAATCACCAGGCACAATGAGCTGAACTCACTTCATACTTTTACATAATAAAGAAAACTCCAATCGAGTTAGGAAGTCCTCTGTCTCTAAAAAGCAATTGATGTTTTGGTTTTTACTATTTTTAGTTTTTAGATGTAAAGAAAGGTGTGTTCTTTTTTCTAGTCGTTTGTAACAGCTCATAGTTTATAAGGGTCTATAGTCAGACACATCAAAATTACAAGGAGCATCCTGTTTTTTTTTTTTTTTTAGTGTAGCATCACATTAACCATTTTTAATCCACACAAAACCTCAGTCTTATTTTTTTTTAATATTTTTTGAGTTGCGTAGTTTGCATCCATGTATGAAGTACCTTAGGAGGTTACAATAACCAAATGCCTAGGTGTAGGTAAAGAGTTATTTTACACAGACTGTCCTAAAAGTTAAGCATTGATCCTCATTTTGAGCTATAAAAAAAGCTAGCAAGTTGTGGTTTGTGAGGCTCTGTGGATCAACTCTTTACCCTTAAAGTGAGCCCCCGTCAAGCACATCTCATCAAATTAATGGAGACACAACATTTTTTCAGAGGCTTATGGTGCAGACCTTTATTAGATTTTAGGACCTCTATTTACGAAAAAATCAATGTTTTAAGCCTCCCGCACCCGCTCCTCCCATAAAGCCCAGATCTTGGGCCTTGTGATTTATGGGTTTTCTCAAAATCAAAGCAAAGCTTTTTGTAGCAGAACAGAGTGTCTACTGGTGTGAAAAATCCGAAAATAGTACTGATTTATTCAAGGCGGTCTGAAAGCACTGATAAAACACAGAAATTCTGCTGAAAGGCCTGGAGTTTTTTGCTATCTGCCATGCATGTGTTTCAGAACAGCTTGGAAAGTACACGATCCCTTGCGCATTGATTCTCAGTGCAGTATTTGCCCGCTTTGATGGCAATTGTGCCGTCAGTTTTTCTTCAGGCCCACTAATGAGCTTTGATTTTTTGGCTACGTCATTTTTGCCTCCCGTTAAGATAGGGAGAGATTTGCCTGCAAATAGTCGATTCGTACAGTTTTCGGTACAAGAAAAATTGCCGTGAAGCGAAGAGAGCAGTAAGTCCATGCTAGGATGAACCTTGAGACACATTAAAACATGTGCTAACCATGGCTCACACAGAAATGCACTTACTGCTCTCTTCGTTATCATGGCAGATAACGATGCGCACTGTAAAATTGCAAAAATAATTACCTCCGCAGTGATGTAATGCTTCCTTTTTAAGGATCCTCAAAAACAGTTTTGAACTGTTTTTTTGGTTACTGCCATGAATCTTCGAAACTATGTGTCATAGACGGGAAGATGGCGGCGGCGAAGCCTACCTGCCTACTGCCACCAAGCTGTCGTTTTTGACATCTTGATTTTTCGTTTCAGGCTACTTAATTGAGTTCTGTGTGAAGTTTTCAGATCCTTAATGAATCTGTATCGCATTCAAATTTAAAAGTTTAAGGAATTAAGATTAATGGGTTGAAATCACAAAAAACCTACATAACCTTCAATTAACCAACAGTAACACACCGCCAATGCGACGCCGCACATTGGTTCCATGGCCTGATCTAGGCAGTATTAATTGGAATAAATGAGTTTTTGAATGAATGAAAAATAGCACTAATGGTCGACACTGCATACTCTGGAGAGTATTTCGGCCAAATATCATGATGATTGGACGAGTAATAAAGAAATGATAAGCTTCCAAAGGCGAGCGTGCAGGCCGTCTTTCTGCGGTTCTATATGTTTCCTCACTTATCACAGTAAAGTGGTGTTTCTAATGGAGCTGCATAGCCACCTTAGGCAAAGAAACACCGTTTTAAGGGTGGAATCCGAAAATTCAAGTTATTTCTAAGGTTTACCATGTTTCAATCATATCTTTATTTTAAGTCGAAAGCTCTTGACAAACCCTTGGACATAGCGCTATTTTACGTTAACTTCACACAATTTTCCTGGTAAATGGCTAAAAACAACTATTTTGCCACCCTCCGACACTTTTCAAACGGTTATTTCTAGTTTGTACTTATCCTAGGTATGATGTAGAAACTAATAACTTTTGCCAGTTTTAGGCAAACAAAATATGTTACAACACTCTGAAGCGAATGTTGCGCTCGAATTCAAAAATCAATGGGTCTCGAAGTTTATTACCTTCTTTTCTGCTCATGGTCGAAGTGGTATAATCAGAGCGACACCCTTTTATTTTATGTCCATACTGTTATTTCTTGAACTGCAACATTCCAGGAGTTGGTTCTCAAACCAGATCGTGTTGATTGAATTCTCCTTGAAGTTATGTAATGTGACACCTCCCCCCTTAAAAAAACCATTGCAAAATTAATTTTAGTAGAATAATTGATCTTCCTTGATGAGGAAACATTAAATTTCTCAACATTTTTAGAGTTGAAACACTGAGACAAGTTTTCAAATCAATTATCCCGTATTGAGTGTGAATTTGCTATTTAACGCCTATTTACCATTTTGTAGCTAACGACAAGGCAAAATTGACCTTAAACTCGTGATCAGCGACCTGAAAACACTCAGAAACATACAGGGTGATCCAGACCACCCGTCCACCATATTTTTCTCGAAAACGGCGGAGAATTAAGCTTCGGGACCAAAACTTTCACAGGGTAAATCGACCCCAAAGAATCGAATGAAAATATTTTCAGCCCCCCAAAATGGCCCCTTGGGGGGGTTTTGGGGAAGAGCCCCCCCGTTTCTCGCAATTTTCAAATGGGAAGGGTATGTTTTGACTTTGGATTCGGAATCTACGGTAAAAAATAAGAACATTTTGTTCTTTGCACTTTTTCCCTAAACCCCCATTTTTTGGAGTCATGGGGCATTTTTGGGGCAATTTTCAATTCGACGCTGTAAGCGGCCAAATCATCCAAATTTCAAAATCTAAAAATCTCCTGAGAGGAGAGGTCAATACCTTTTTATTGATGTGCCACATGACCCCTGTTGCTCCAAAATTTTGGGGACCACGACCCCCCAAAAATTTTGGGGCTTTGGAGGGCCATGAGTCGAAAATTTCGAAAGGCAAGGGTATGTTTTGACTTCAGATTTGGATTCTACGCGAAAAGTTACGTAGAATTGATATGGCGAATGGCCTGTTTGCTCCAAATTACTGAAGAACCCCATTTCCCCATAAGAAGCCGTGTATTTTTGGACAAAATAAGGGGTAAAAAAAATTCGAGCAAACAGGCCATGCGCCATATCAATTCTACGTAGCTTTTCGCGTAGAATCCAAGTCTGAAGTCAAAAAATACCCGACCATACCCGAAATTTTCGACTCATGGCCCTCCAAAGCCCCAAAATTTTTGGAGGGTCGTGGCCCCAAAAATTTTGGAGCAACAGGGGTCATGTGGCACACCAATAAAAAGGTATTGACCTCTCCTCTCAGGAGATTTTTAGATTTTGAAATTTGGATGATTTGGCCGCTTACAGCGTCGAATTGAAAATTGCCCCAAAAATGCCCCATAACTCCAAAAAAAGGGGGTTTAGGGAAAAAGTGCAAAGAACAAAGTGTTCTTATTTTTTACCGTAGATTCCGAATCCAAAGTCAAAACATACCCCTCCCATTTGAAAATTGCGAGAAACGGGGGGGCTCCCCCCCAAAACCCCCCCAAGGGTCCATTTTGGGGGGCTGAAAATATTTTCATTCGATTCTTTGGGGTCGATTTACCCTGTGCAAGGTTTTGGTCCCGAAGCTTAATTCTCCGCCGTTTTCGAGAAAAATATGGTGGACGGGTGGTCTGGATCACCCTGTATATCGCACGCCAATAAAGGTGATATTCTAATTAGTGCCGCCTAGATCGGGCACTGGAACCAATGTGCACCACCTTGTATTTTTCCACTCCAGATACCGCCGCCACATCGATTGTGATGCGTACTTTCGAAAGCTACGAGAGCGCGGTTCAAACCCCGTTTTAGGCCACCCTAATTTTTGGCACTTTCAAGTCAATTTTCCTCCTGATTGCAGTCATCAATAATAATTAGGAAGAAAACTGTAAGCTTCAGTTACTTACTGCTTTCGAATGACACAATTAAAATATGACTTAACTTACTCATTGTGTGCGATTTTTTCATTACCTGAAGGTACTGTAAAATTGCAGAGTTTTGATGAATTTTTTTAGAAAGCACTAAAAGAGTGCTGTAAAAGTACAAATTTTTTTCCAGGCACTTATAGTAGACAGCCTGCAGAAGATTTCATTCAGCCAATGAAATAAGGCTTTGGTTGAAGCTCCATTCATACCTCTCATTCTCATGGATCTCAGTAAAACAATTCTAGTCTAATCAGAAGAATGCTTGCGTTTGTGTTTCTAAGCTGAAAAAAATCATTCACCTTGGGAAAGAATCAAGAGGCCTAGAATTGTCAGATGAGCAACAAAGAATGGAAAAATTATTGAAAATACTAATTTTGTTAACAATACAAAGGAATAGAAGCCACAAAACTCAAAAAAAAAAAAAAAAAAAAAAAAGTTCATTTTTCTTAACCCCTCCCTCCTCCAAAATGGGTCCTTGAATGTGATAGGGATTCGCACAACACGTCTCTGTAGAAACCAAGTACCAAGCCTGCCAAATCATATGAATTTTTTATTTTTTTAGTTTTTAATGTGAGTAACTTGTTGCCCTGTTGCAGGTTACATGGCTTGCCAGCTGGACCGAAAATGTGCAAGGTCAAGTGAAGTATGTGATGCTAAATCCCTCTTCAAAGCTGAAGGGGGAAAAAGATTGGCAGAAGTATGAAACTGCTCGAAAATTAGCAAAATCAGTGGAGGGAATCAGGGAGCAATATATTGCCGATTGGAAATCCAAAGAAATGAGGATACGGCAAAGAGCTGTTGCCCTTTATTTCATTGATAAAGTAGGTATTCTTTCATCTGAGGTTTGCACCAATAATTTAGATACCTGACACGTGCAGCTAGCCTGCATAGGGGTCGTGCAGCCTTGAAAAGTCCTTGAATATCCTTGAATTTTTTCTCTCATTTTCATGTGTTTGAAAATTCTTGATTTTTGAAGAAAAGCGTAAAAATACTTGAAACTCATTTAATTATGAGACTCATCCTTGAATTTTATCAAATAATGATGGGTGAAACCAAGGAACAATTTCGACCTCACAACTTTCCCTTTGAATCGTCGCGAAAGAATTGTAACTTGCAAACTCAGCAACGTTGTTATGACTGTGCACTGCTAGAGCTATTTTGCGCCGGCATCCCGGATGCTGGCGCATTTTCTTTGGAAACGCTGCTCAAGCAGCTCGGCACCACTGAATTTTAGGCAAATCCGGATCTTTTTTTTACCACAAATATAACTGTTCTGCGTAACTTTTTTCACAACTTCAGTAAATGTACCGTGGAACTTTTTATCACTAACTGGATAAATCTGGATATGCTGGAAAAATCGGCAAGAATGCATTTTTGAGAACTAGAGTTCACAGGAATTTCCCTTGATTTTTCTGAACAATATTATCCCACGAAAAACGAGCTCAAAGTTGTGTATTTTGAGCTCCTATTTAAACGCGCGTCAGTGTTACACTAAATGTGGCTGCTGTGAATGCATGGCGGAGAATGGACACATTAGGCGACGTACCTCTGCCGTGTCCTATAGTCTGCACAAAGACTATAGGATATCACGCCGGCTCGCGTGCGGGTTATAGGACGCGGCAGAGAGAAGTCTGCCAGTGTGGCCATTCTTCGGCAGGCGCTCACAGCGGCCATTTTTAGTGTCACGCCAATGCGCGTTTTAATGGGAGCTCAAAATACGCAACTTTGAGCTCATGATTTGTGCGTTCATAGTGTTCTACAACATCAGGAAAAATTCTTGTGATCTTCCTGGACTCTCAAGTTCTCAAAAATGCCGGAAATAAACATTATTAGTAAAGCTCATTTGCAGAAAATCAATACTAGAGTTCATTTCTGTTAGTTTGCCTATGTTTGACAATCAAGATTGCTTTCTACTATTCATTCCTCTTTGTCCCTTCTAATCTAGAGAACTGTTTAATTTTGTAGTTGGCGTTGAGAGCTGGTAATGAAAAAGATGAAGATCAAGCTGACACAGTAGGTTGTTGCTCTTTACGTGTCGAGCACATCAAACTGCATGAAACATATGGAGGTAAATTTTTACTGGATTTCTGTTTGAGTTTTCCACCAGCTCAGTTTTGTGATCATAGGACCCATTGTGTAACAGTGGTTCAAGTGCACAGTGGAACTCAGTGCATTTAAGGAAAAAGACTGGTGGAATTCCTTGTGCAGAGGCTAAGACTGTGCATCAAACCAGCAGTGCCGGGCAATGTATCATGGATCTATCGTTTAAAGTTGAATTATAGGCTTTGGAAGTATATCATCACACTGCTCCATTGCAAAAGTATAAGAAGTTCTTTAAGAACCTTTAGGCAAAATTTAATGATCACCAAACTGATGAGGTTCCTGAAACAGAGACTCACACTGTGCACAAATGCAAAGAAAGAAATGACCATGCATTCAAAATTTAATCAAGAGCCTAGGAATTATTTACCCATACTGTCTTTTAATTAAAGCATGCGCAGGCCTTAAACGAAGCCTCGTTGAAAATTTTTATGGTCATAATATCGTTTGAACCCTTAAAATGAGGTACTTACTGAATGGGCAAACATACATATTGGAAAGGCAAGTGAGGAGGACTGTGGGAAGAAAACTAAATTGAATTTTTGGCAATCTTGTACCATTTTCCATTTTCTGAATGACTTCTTTGCAAGCTTTCGAAGAATTGAGTCTTTTGATTTTTAGAGACTCTCGTTATGGTACACTCAGAAAGCATTAAACTAATTTTGCTGGTGAAAGTTTTTGTGTCTCTAGAGAGCCCAGAGAAAGGTGGAAATAGTAAGTTGTGTCAAATTTCTTTGGGCGTTGTATGTAAAAGAGTACAATGAGCCAGGAAGCTGATCATTGAAATTGATGGACAAAGCAATGGATAAAGGGAAAATGGAGTGATTCATTATCATTGAAATTGATATGTTACAGGCACATTCCGATTTTGGACCGATTGCAATCGGCCCGGGCACATTGTGATCGGCCTGGGCCGGTGTGAAGACGCTCTCAATTACAGTAGTGGATTGGAAAAGGCCCGGGCTTATTCCAATCGGCCGAATGAATAAAAATCGGCCGTATAAAGGAGTCTGGGAAGTTGTACTGGAAAGCCTCTATGCAACAACATCGGCAAACCGTCAAACTCAGATCTGCCTGATAGACTAAGGGGGTAAATGATGGATGAAATATAGGTTCTCTCCAGGGTTGTCGTTAGTTAGTCTTTCACTTACATATTTCGTCCATTGCAAGCACCCATTTCCACTAATAGGATCCCTCCATTTTCCCCTTCTCTCCATCAATTCCATCAATTGCCATCATTGTCCATCAATTTCAATAACTAGCCTGCGGAAATTGTCCCATTTATCCAAATGCGGTCCATCTCTTACACTTGTATCTGGTGAATGAAAGTTTTTATTAAATAACTTAATTCAGCCAATGACGAATTAAATGAAGTTTGTAATTTGCCTTCTTTAATTTTTTCTCAGAGGACAAGTATGTTGTGGAATTTGACTTCCCTGGTAAAGATTCCATTAGGTATCACAATTTTGTGCCTGTTGAGAAGAAGGTGTTCCGAAATTTGCAACTCTTCGTAGAAAACAAGAAAAAAGGAGATGATCTGTTTGATCGTCTAAATGTAAGTAACTTAAAGTTATTTCTCCTCAGCTGAGCTGCAGTCTGAAATTTGATTTTCTGATTCAATAAATTTAGTGGGTCAGTTGCGCTGGTCACAGAATCGTATTTTGATTCTTGATTCTTGTAGATTAGCTGAAAGTAGTTAGATATGTCCAAACAAAGACTCCCAAACAAAGGATCCCTTATCAGGAGGTAACGCACTCGACACGAAGAGGCAAGGCAGTCAGTCAGTTCTCCACAGTTCGTTTATAATTAGTGTCACTACCATGGTGGATAACGTCAAAAACCCGACTTCTTAAAGGGTACTTTTTAAGGGGAGGGGGGGACTTTATCTTCGTTAATATTGAACGTAGGAAGTTGCTGTTTGGACAGATCTTATTACTTTTAGCTAATCTACAAGAATCAAAACACGATTCTGTGACCAGCGCAACTTACTCATTGCCTTTTAAGAGCATGACTTCAGTGATAGATTCTATCGAATCACCGAAAAGTGGAATTCCAAGAATGCTTTGATGGATGGTTTAGTGCTGTTTTGTTTCATCATTACGTATTCATTTATTTATTTTTGTTCTTGTTGTTCGGTATAGAAATATCCTCAAAAAAGGGCAAGGTGCCATGGATAACTTTTTTTCCCTGTCTATTTTAAATTGTAAGGTATGAGAGGAAATAATATTTAAAATTAGGTAAGTTAACTATTGGTAACATATGATACTTCTGCTCATCAAGGCACAAACATATGTTTTTATTTTTTTAAAGTTCTTCTGTGGTCACTACGTATGCATAATGTGTCATGTGGAAATACAAAGAAGATTAGAAAAATTATTTCATTAATCAGATAATGTAAACATTAAGAGCGCTCACAGGCTTGAAAATTCAAATGCACATATATGTCAAAAAATCTAAGAAATGGAAAAAAAATTTATATTCACATCTGGCACTCCTCAAATATACATGGTTTTTAAAAAGAAAATACCGGGTTAGTGGGCGAAAACTTTTGTTACTCATCAGAGAATGAGCATCTGAAAATCATAGTCCAGGCAAATAAGCCATGAAAGGGGCTATAGCCTGCAAAAATCCCGGGTAGCAATGTTTTCATCGATTCCTATGTAATTTTTGACGCTGAATCCGAATTTCAACTTTGCGCCATTTTATTCGGACCGGAAAGTTGCCAAATTTGGCAAAAATGGCCTAAAATCGGCATTTTTTGCGGATTATGGCCTGTAACTCGCCAAAAATTGATCTGACGACAAAATTAGTTATTTTCAGAAATAAAGCTCGTCAAATTTCCTATAAAAAAGTTTCTATACATTTTTTGCTTAAGGGCAAAATTAAGCGCGCTGGCGGGCGCCAAACTTTGAAAAATGAGCGAAAGTTGCGTTTTTTGCGGATTATGGCCTGTTACTCGCTAAAAATTGATCTGAAGTCAAAATTAGTTGTTTCGGAAATAAAGCTCGTTAAATTTCCTATAAAAAGGTTTCTATACATTTTTTGCCTAAGGGCAAAATTAAGCGCGCTGGCAGGCGCCAAACTTTGAAAAATGAGCGAAAATTGCGGGGTTTTTTTGCGGTTTTTGCTTTATGTCTCCTTTTTTACCCGTCTGCAGAGTAATTTCTGGACAAATTAAGTGAATATAATAAAATTCACACTATGTTCCATGAATCGATGTGAAAAATAAGCAGCCCAACACATTGCAGTGTTGCCAAAATTACCTAAAATTGTTGGTTGGCGGTTTTGGACCATTAATTGCCTTATTATCCGTCTATTTGTTTAGTCTCCATTTTGTAAAGCGGGGATAATGAATCGAGATCAGCGGAAAGGAGGATGAAATAATTCTTTGTCACATTTTTTTTCATCAGAATGAGGTGGAAACACTTCAGAGGGTCGTGCGTCCACTAAAGTGCTGTATCGTGACACTTGTAGTGCAGTTGCGCCAGGACATCGAGCTCCTTGAAAATGGCAGAGGTAGATCGAAAAATGCAAAGTATGAAATTAGTTTGGCAATTTATATAAAATCGATTAACTTCATTTTATATAAAAGTAACTTACATATTAAGGCAGAATATATAAATTTAATTATTAGTACTTGCATCCACGCCACCCAAGAGGTCCAGTAGGAACATGGCGCGTTTTATTTTTGC